CGTTTTTGGTTAACATCCTAATATATCCTGGAGCTGGTGTGGTGAGGTTTGTGCAGGTATTGCTGAGAGCAGTGGCCTCTCCGGAAGTGACTGCAAGTGCCTCTGTGGCTGGGGGCGGGCGTTTGTTGTTGTTTGGATGAATACACGGTGTCTTTTGGCTCTCGTATCTATTTGGCACACAAAGGAGAATGGCATAGATCTTTAGCAGAACTGTCAGACCTTGTGACTTTTTATGTTACTAAGAATTCTCCACTCTGTGGCTCTTGTTATGTGGAAATGTAAGATTTTTTTCCCTAAAAAGCAGAGAAAACAAATAAAGGATTTTAAGGTCATTCCAGGAAGCTCTAGTGCTTTGCCAAGTTCAGGTCCACTTCCTGAGGCAGTTTCATTAGGAGACAGCTGATGTTTGCTTGGTCTACTCCCAAATTATATTTAGAAACTAGAGATTATTCTGATAGCACCAATTTGAATGTTCTCATTTACGTTTTTTTATGCTACCAAATATGATTAGAATATGCTTTCAGCTAATTGGTGACAGGTTTACTACATTGGGAATTTTTAAGCCCCCAGATTCCTACTGTCATCAGATTGCTACTAACTAGGTACTTCACCCCAACCACTTCAGAACTGAGATGGACTCTTTCAGTTCCCAGAAGAACCAGAGATTTGATTTCACTTACCTAAGAGCATTAGAGAGAGGGTAGAAAATGGAAGACAGAATCTTAGAACAGTCACTGCTGTCATTTGTGACACTGGAAGGCTGGGATTAGCACGGAGCTAGCTGACGCTGGCCTGTTCTATTCGTGTTCCTATAGACCCCAGTCTGTAGCCACTGCCCCTCCCTTCCACACAGATGGCTCCCAGCTTATCTCAAGAATCCAGGAGTGTAGGAACTTGCAGGCCCTTAAGGACCATCTTCAGACCTGCCCCTAACTCACATGTGGCAGGAACACCACTCCTATTTCTAAGAGTTTGCAGAGTACCTCCAGCTGTGCCTTTGCCTCTGGGTCTAGGCTTCTCACTTTCTCAATTGTCTCTAGTGACCCTCAAGCCTATATTTTGTATGTCTTTCACTGAAATGAAAATTTCAGTATGTGCCTGGCTGGAAATAGACTGGGGGACTCTGCGTTTTCTGGAGATGTTCCTCATCCTGTAGAATGGACCTTGTTATCTCTATGCTGACTGATGCCACTTTTCCATACCTTTTTCCTTCTTCGGTTCTTCCCATTCTTCACTAGCTTTCTGCCTTTGATATCCCACCTGACTGACTCTAAGACTAGATAGATATAGATAATTCTACTTGCTCCATGGGAAACTCCTAATAACTTGGGTGGCCATACCTCTCAACTTGCCTTGAGCAGCCCTGGTTTTTACCTGTTGTCCCAGCATGATTATTCCCAGCTCACAAGTGTCCTGGTTCAGATGGTAAATTACGTGATGATAACTTCTCCAGCAAGGGAAGGCTAGAACATCAGGCGTCTGTCTTACTAAATAAGAGGGTAAGATTTTAAATTTAAAAAGTTTAAAGATTCTTTAAGATACAGCCACTTTAGCTCCAGTTTCAGTCCACCTGGCTAGTAAGGAAGCAAGTCATGGTGTGCAGTCGTTAAAGGGCTCAGCTGTTAACCAAAAGGTTGGCGGTTCAAACCCAGCAGCCACTCCATGGAAGAAAGATGTGGCAGTCTGCCTCTGTAAAGATTTATAGCCTTGGAAACCAGATGGGGCAGCACTACTCCGTCCTACAGGGTCACTAAGAGGTGGCATCGACGTGACAGCCGTAAGTGTTGCTCTGTGGCTAGGTAGGGCCTCGGTGCTCAGGAGCAGGCACTGAGTAACTGTGCTGTTGCTGAGGGCAAGTTGGGCATTTTGGTTGTAGTACTCTTAGCTGGGGCAGTTGCTACAATTTTGCTTTTTCTGTATCTTTCCTCCTAGTATCTTTTCAAATCCTTTGAGATTTGTCTACCTAAAGTTGAATTTTCCAGCTCAGTATATAAATATCTCTTACTTAGGCTTTAATCTGGCAGCTAATCTCATATACTTGCCGGTTGAAGCTGAATATCTTCTTCATGAGGATTTTGCTTGGGCCTCAGCCAGGAAGCTGGAGAGTGGAAGGCACAGAGATGAGGCAGGAAACACGGGTGGGAGTTGGAGGAGCGTGAAGACCTTATATGACATTTGTGACTAGATAAGAATAATGTGTGTGTAAAAAGCTAAAAGGGTGTGTGTGTATTTAAATTGGAGTAGAGTGGCTACTACCCAAAGGAGTTTCGGTTGTCAAGTTACAACTGGAACTGTACAGCGTTTTTCATGGTTAGGATGTTGTTAAGAGAGTTAGATGTGAGCACTCATCTCCCTCCAGTGATAGTAATTAATTCATTAAAAGCTATCTGTAAAAAAAAAGAAAAAAAAAAAAACCTACATTAAATAGCTGCTGAAGGCACTTCTGAAGTGTTACAGGTAGCCCATGCAGTCACCTGTGAGGTGATCGACAGTATCTGAAATAAGGGGTAGGACTGCACAGCAGCTGATCTTCAGTTTAGACCCCAGCAGTATCCTGAGTGAAGTCCCTGTGGCCATGTGAGCCATACTTTTTCCAGGAGAAGGGCTGACTCAGGAGAAACTGGAACTGCTCTAGCTAGCCAGACCATGATGTTTCAGGTCCCAGTGGTTCTAATCCACGATATTACAGCTTGATGGGCAGAATGATAGGCCTACTTCAGAGCCTGGAGTCGAACTCTGAAAAGTGTTTAAAAAAGACAAAGCATGAAATCACCTGAGTTTGTGGGGTACCATATTGGTTGTTATGTTGGTCTGTTGTTGTTGTTGTTATGTGCCATAGAGTCAGACCTGACTCATAGCGACCCCTCCTTGGGTTTCCGAGGCAGTATCACTGTGTTGGTCTAGTCTTCCAAAAATAGCAAAAAACAACCAAAACAATCCACTATGGAACTATGGCATCCAGACTTTCCTGTTTTCTTGAATTCACCAATTTAAAGCCAAAAAGAGCCATCGCTCTGTACCAGGGGCCTGTGAAATATCTAGTTCTTCTCTTTTGTCCTTCCCTTTCTGGGAGTGAGAGGGCAGGGTAAAGAGTTCTTCGTCTCCTGCTCTTTAAATACAATTGGATCCATTCCCAAACCAGCTCCTCTGCCCCTTATTTCAGTTGTCAGACCAGGATCCTTGACTGCAGACAACGTTCATTCACCAGATCCTTTGGTTCTACCTCCTCAGTGTCTCTGGCGCCTGTCCACTTCCCAGCACACCCAGCGCCCTCTCTTTTCCAGCTCAGCATGACTTCCCACCTGGGATTCCAAGTCTCATGCAACTGCTGCTCCCCTCTAATGCTTTCCTGTGCATCAGCCAGAAAAATGTTTCTAAAACACAAACTTGACATGTTTATGCTTTAAAGCTCTTTAGTGAGTTTTTGTTTAGGGCAGTGAAAACATTTGGAAATAGATAGTGGTAACAGTTGGATAATATGGTAGATGTAATTAATGTCACTGAATTATATACTTAAAAATGGTTAAAATGGCAAATATTTTCTTGTATATATTCTACCACAATAGTTTAAAAAAAAGAAGAAGAAGAAGGAAAAAAACCTCATAGTGGCTTTTTATTGCCTTTACAATGAAATTTCAACTCATATGAAGTTTGTAAGACCCTCCAAATCCAGGCAACAACAATAAGGAAATATTAGGCTATTCCAAACGAAATGGGGAGGGAGGGCTACAGTGTTGGTGCGTGGAGAGACAGGGCTGGCATGCAGGAAGTAAATGCTCCTCCTGATAGCAGTGGGACACATTGAGCCCCACTTATAGTCTTTGGAGTAGGGACCTCTCTCATTTACAGGAGAGCTAGTCTAAAGTCTTTGGGTTCTTATATTCATCTTATACATGAACTAATTCTTCTGTCTGATTTGAAATTGCTACATCCTTGCTAAAATAGAACAACTTCCTCCACTACTTTTCTTAATCTGCTGCTTTAAGACAATATACTACTATCGTTTGTCCAGTTGTAAGACTATGTCCATCTGATCCTGTGTGTTGTTGTTGTGTTGTTGTTATGTGCCATCGAGTCGGACCCGACTCATAGCAACCCCTCCTTGAGTTTCCAAGGCGTACCACTGTGGAAGTAGATTGCCCAACTGTCCTTCCAAGGAGTGGCTGTTGTTGTTACATGCTGTCAATAGGACCCGACTCATAGTGACCCCTCCTTGGGTTTCCGAGGCAGTATCACCATGGAAGTAGATTGCCCAACCTTCCTTCCGAGGAGTGGCTGGTGGGTTTGAACCTCCAGTCTTCCGGTTAGCAGTCAAGTGCCTTAGGCACTATACTACCAGAGGAGTGGCTAGTAGGTTTAAACGACCAGCCTTCTGGTTAGCAGTCAGGTGCCTTAGGCACTATGCTATCTGACCCTTTCTACCCAACTATAATTCTTTTGTAACTTGTGTCACCTTGATGTTCTGATTTGAGTTGGCAGGAGTCTTTTCTTTCTATGTCATTCCACCTAACAGGGCCACAGCTCTTACAAATAATAAAATGGCGTCAGGTTTACTCTGTCCATCCCTCATGGCTCCATTAGATCTTGAGTCACAACACTAAAGTCATACTCCTGACACAGCTATGAGACAGTGGAACAGACCTGATGGGATTTGCCAGTTGATTAATGATTAGCTTTTCTCCGCTTGTCCACGTGTGATACATGCAGCTCTCAGTGTTGAAAACAGCATTGGCCTGCTCTTCACTCAGACTGATCCAGTTGTATGGTCTTGGCAAATCACTGAACGATTTTGGTTAATTTGCTCATTTTTAATTGCCAAGAAGACCCTTACAGTTCTAAAATCCCATTCTATTAAATTCTAATTTAGTGTAGTCTGAAGTATTAGTGTTTTGTTGTACATTGTTTAGGCATTACTCAAGAATTAATTAACTTTCATTTTTTTGGAAATTGCCATAGTTTTGGAGGATAGCAGATTAATAAACAGTTTTGCTTTCTTCCAGATCTTTGATGACGCGTACAAATCCCAGCTCAGTTGTGTGGTTGTGGATGACATTGAGAGACTGCTTGGTGAGTCATCACTTTTGCTGTTGGGCCGTCTCTGCCCCATTACCGTGCAGGCCCTCCGTGGGGTCTTCAATGGCTGTGATCTTTGGGAAGGAGATCACCAGGCCTTTCTTTCGAGGCACCTCATTGGGTTTAAATTGCCAACCTTTTGGTTGGTAGCTGAGCACTTACCATTTGTGCCACATAGGGACTCCTATCTCAGAAATTAGAAGAGAAAAACAAGTGTCTACAGACTTCAGGGCAATAGAAATACCTTTCTTTGGTGGGAAATATAACATTATCCCTTCATGTGAAGTCACTGGTGGTGTTCATGTTAACTCTGCCTCATGCCCATGGCTCCATTATAAACTACTTTCCTATAAAGGCCTGTGTCTCGTTTATTTTGTGTTTCCCACAGATAATCCTGCCCATAATAAATGATTAGCAATTTTCATCTATGGATATATTTGCCATTTAGTACCTCTGAGGGACCTATGATTTATAAATTTCACTTTCAGCCTTTGGCAGACTAATGAAAGAAAGGTTTAGGATTAGAGTGAAATACACAAATTGGCTATATCACTTAGGGCAGAAGTTTAAATTTCTCTGTATCTCAGTTCTGCTCTTACAAAACAGAAACTAAAATTCCATCCTTCCTTATCCTGTAGAGCAATTGTAAAGACAAAAATGGGATAACAAATGTCGAAAACATTCTGAAGGTTAGAAAGTATTTCATTGTAATTTAAAGATAAAATTAAATACACACACACACACACACACACATACATACAAACATATAGGAAGCATCTGTGTTTAACTTCAAGGAGCCCTGGTGGTGCAGTGGTTAAATGCTCACCTGCCAACCAAAAGGTCAGCAGTTCAAAACCACCAGCCACTCCATGGGAGAAAGATGAGGCAATCTACTTCTATAAAGATTACAGTCTTGGAAACTGTGGGGCAGTTCTACTCTATGCTTTGGGTCACTGTGAGTTAGAATTAATTAAAATGGCAAGAGGTGTTTAACTGTGCTCCCACAGGACATAAAGATGGATAAGACTTAGTCTCTGTACTCAGTTAATTCATAAGGAGTAAACTAGAAATAAATGGCAGAAAATTGCCAATACTCTTATATTGTATTTCACTGTAAAAACTAAATTAATCTGGAATAAATTTATTATAGCAGTGACCCAGGATGCTACAATAAAATCCATTGAAATAGAAATCTACCTGGTGACTTAGTAAATGTCTGCAAATGCTATCCAACACATGATTTTAGTCCCTTCTTCCTTGAGCTAACCTTGATGGTACAGAAATGATTTCAATTTAACTCTTCTTCCTTCATGGTTCCCATGGTTTTCAGACTTAAGTCCTCTGTTAAAGCTACCTGTTTGTTTATTTTTCTAAGTTTTGGCAATGTTTATTATAAATTGATAGTTTTACCTATGACCTGGATTTTTGGATCTGTTATTTCTGATGCATCTAAACCCAATTTATAGTGTTATTTCTTAGAATGCTTTTAGGCACATACTCGTAGCTCTGTGTAAATTCCTTGATCTAAGCACAAATGAGATGTGTGGTCATAGCAACACTACTATGTCAGGAATGTGTGCCCTCTGAGTATATTTTCACTTGTATGAATCATTATTATCTGTGCTTGTTTGTTCATTCACTCAACAAGCATTTGCTGAGCTCTTACTACTGTGTTAGAATTATTAGTGTCACAGAAAAATAGATAAAATGCTGCCTGTCCATTATAACATGTATTGGAAAAAAAATAATTCAGAAAAGAGTATGCCATATATTCTGGAAAATGCAGAAGAGGGAAGGATGACTTTTGACTTCAGAGGGCTGATGTTTGTAGGAAGCATTGATGCTTGCCCTTAAGCACAGGGCAAGGGTGGCATGCAGCATCCAGAGAAAAGCCAAGGAGACAGTGTTTGTGCTGGATCTTGAAAGACTGGTAGGTGCTTAACAGAACATTCTCTTGTTACTGTTTCCTGCTACTCATTTTCCAGCTTTGCGCCTATGGTATACTGCCATGGTTTGCAGTAATTATTTAGAAATACACACCTATTTTTGTTTCTTTCTAAAAAGAAAATGATTTCTGAAAACCAGAGATGACTCCGTGAACTCAGAATGGGTAGTTAAAAGATTTATCAGAAATTTTACAGATAAGGGATCTTATATTTCACACATTTAAATGTTTATTATTATTATTATTATAGATTGTTGCATGACTGTTATAGGATTGTGTTTACACTTGATACAGAATGTTCTGAATGCCTAGAATATGTGTGCATGTATATCAAATCCCTAAACACAACAATGTTCTTTTCCAGATTATGTTCCTATTGGTCCTCGATTTTCTAACCTGGTGTTACAGGCTCTTCTTGTGTTATTGAAAAAGGCGCCACCTCAGGTAAAAATGATGATGGTGATGATGATGATGACAGTGAAGACATTTTCAGAGAATGTTTCAGTAAATTGCATGTAATGGTGAACTTTCTTTAACTAAGCAGGTTATCATTAGACTTACATAATTCTATTGTTGAAGGAATTGTGAAAGATCATCTGGTCTTGCCTCTTGTTTTAAGGTAGACAATTTTCTTAACAACCAGAGAGGTTTTCCCTTGATTTACTGAAGAGCTCAAAAACCCCACAGTTTCTATTAGTCTTATATTTCATTGTTTTATAAGTTCCCCACCATATTACACATCCCTGACACCCTCTGTGGTGATTATGTTTGTGTGTCAACTTGAGTGGCTAGGCAGCTGGTGGTAGTTACTTCCCATGATGAGACCAGCAATCAACTCCATGGTGGGATCTACCACAAGCAGCTGAGTAGCTGCCTTTGGGATATGGTCTGCTTCCTATATATAAGGAGAAGACTTGGGAATGGTCTGTAGCCTATGGCACGCTTGGACCCTGCATGTAGCCGTGTCATTGCTCAGCAGCCTGCCATGCTCTGCCAGCCTTGGAACTTACAATGGACTTAAGTTAATGGCCTGCCATGTGGTTTGGTAACATCAGGACTGTGCCTTTTTACTTGTCAACCTTGGGGCTTCTCAGCCTCAGCAGCCAGCAGCTGTCTGAGTGAAGAAACACCTCTAGCTCCAGTGGGCCAGGAGCAGGAGGCAGAGCTGGACCCCAAGGTTGAGGGGCTTTCACCCAGCTCCGAGAGCCTGTTACTTTGAACTTGGACTTAAAGCCTCCAAATTTTAAGAATAAACTCCTGTTTGTTAAGGCCACCCCATTTGTGGTAAATTCTTGTCAGAGCGGCACTAGGGAAGCAGAACACCCTCCGTCACTCATGAGAGATTATGATATTAATGTAGAAGCAACTAAATACATGCCCCATTTGTTTCATTTATGATTGCATAGGGTTTTCCTAAGAATTTGTATTTGGGGAAATACTTATAAAATACTTGACTTCCTGTAAGCAGACTTACAGGTGACCTTGAGTTACTTCTCTTGTATCATATGAAGCTTTTGAAAGGTAAGCTTCTAGTCAGGATTTTGGTTCATGTGGTTGCATATTTTACTGATGTGGCTGTTAAAGACGGTGATTTTGATAGCGTAACAAATTTAAAACCAACCTATGAGGGCTGGTTAAATATGTTAATTATGTGGAGGCTGCCAGGGCATGTTTGGCTATGATATAAGACACAAATTCTCGATGGATTCTGCATGCTGTCACCTCGAAGAAATGTCAATCAAAAGCATATACTAAGGGGTTAAGTGAAAAAGATCTTAATGTTTGCATAGAAATCGCATATTTGAAGTCAGAGATAAACTATAGAAAATATTTGGTATTAAGCTGCAAAATCTAATTTTTAATTTTACAGTTAAAATGATATATGCATGTGTTTCAGAGGTAAAGGTAGGGGATTTGTCTTGATTTTCTACCTTATTTGTTTTCTGTATTTTTAGAATGGTGAAAAGACATATAACCTACAACAGCCCTGAAATTTTACTATATAGTTCCTGTGGAAGGCTTTGTTAATCATCTTTCTAAAAACTGGCATTCCCCAAAACTGGAGTTTTAGCTTATACCAAAGCTGAAGTTAAAGAACTAAGTACACTTTTCCCTTCCCTGATTTCCTCAGTATTTTTATAAGTATGTAAATAGATACATTTGAAATTATTGGAATGTAAATACTTTCTCCCCATTATTGATATTTATCACAAAAACATCCTTTTTTATAAAATTAGCATTTTAAAAATTACTAGAATCAGATAATTTTTCCAGATAATGAAATTTCTTTCTTACAATAATCAGTTTAGGAGCTAAAAAGAATTTACACAAAAAGTCATTTTGGGAGAGAGGGAATAAGTTTTCAATGATATTTTTAAATTGCTTGTCCTTTTCATTACTAAATACTATATACACCAGGAGCTCTGGTAGCGTAGTGCCTAAGGCACTTGACTGCTAACCAGAAGAAGGCTGACAGTTCAAACCTACCAGCCACTCCTCGGAAGAAAGGTTGGGCAATCTACTTCCGTAGTGATACTGCCTCGGAAACCCAAGGAGGGGTCGCTATGAGTCGGGGCCGACTCGACAGCACACAACAACAACAACAACATATACACCAATTTAAACAGAGAGGAATCCTCTGGCTAAGAGTTATTTGATACTTGTAATCTATAAATGCTAATAGAAAGAAACAGAACATAGTAACAAATGAACTGCTAGAGTTTGATTAAAGACTTAATCAGAATGACCATTCCTTTAAAAATTATCATTAAGACTCTAAGGAAGGACCGTTATCTTATGCTTTAAAAATCTCACAGCATCTGGCACAGAGGTTTAGAGGTACGTGATGAATAACTTATTCAACAAAATGTATTTTTTGAGTGTCCTGTCATTTTGGTGGAGCTAAGTGTCTCAGTACTGCTGAGGTTGTATTTTTACATAGGGGGTGATTTGAGAGAAAACAAAAACAAGTGATATTCAAATGACCATTAAGCACATGAAAAGATGCTCAACATTGGCCATCCAAAAAACCAAACCCACTGCCATTGAGTCACTTCTGACTCAGAGCAACCCTAATAGGACAGGGTAGAACTGCCCCCATTGGGTTTCTAAAGCTGTAAATCTCTACCGAAGTAGACTGGGTCATCTTCCTCCTGTGGAATGGCTGGTGGGTTTGAACAGCCAGCCTTTTGGTTAGCGTGTGAATGCATTAACCACTGCCCTACCAGAGCTCCTACATTGGCCGTGAGGGAAATATAAATCAAAGCCATGAGTTACCACTTCACACCCACTATGATGACTAGAATCGAGAAGAGAAAATAACAAGTGTTGACAAGGACATGGAGAAATAGGAACTCTCATACACAGCTGGTAGGTGTGTAAACTAGTGCATTGACATTGGAAGACAGTCTGGCAGTTCCTCAAAAGGTTAAATACATACGAGTGGAACTGCTATTTCATATGGTAGGTGCATTTCACAAAATAAAAATATGCATTCTTTGTACCACCTTGCTTTTTAAATTAGTTTGTATACTCTCAGGAAATAAGTTTTTAGACTGATCTAGTGTCAAGAGCATTTGTCATTGGATAGCAGAAGCATTCCCGTCACTAACCATCATTGTCTAGGTGTTTCAGGTGTTTTCAATTAAATATTAAAAGTGTGTGAATCTGAATGTTGCAAAGGTGTGTAAAGTGGTAGAATACTATTATTTATCACTGGCAAGAAAGCAGGAAAATTGTAGGCATTTTCCTTTCAAAAGAAGAATAGCGTATGTATCCGATACAGTAATCATATCAGTCACAGAATCCTTCATTTGGCATTTGCTGTAATTCCGGCTTTCACACAGAAAAATTGTGTGTGCATGTGTGCACATGCTCAAATAAAAGACCCCCTTCAGGGGCGCTGTGTTATTATGGATCAAGATAGTCTCTTTCTGCTTCTCCCCCTCCCCGGGACCCCCTCCCCTGTTAGAAATTGGCTTATTAAAACTGCTTCACAAGCCCTCCTTTTCTCCCTTTGTCATTGCCTTGGTCTTGGATTTTCAGCGTAGGACTAAAAATGCAAGTCAGATTTCAGTTACTAGGATAATTTTCTTTGAATTTTAAATTTTTCGAAGCAAATGCATAGATTTTTAATGAACCTGGTATTCAGTGGCTTTGCTTTCAATTTAGCTGGAGAGTTAATTTCATGATTGATTTATTAGCCCTTTGAAAGTCTAAAAAGTGGTATCTGTAGTTCTTGAAGACTGAAAAACATCATCACATTTTGTTTAGCATCTTTTTAAAACCAATTAAAAGCTTTTCTAAAATGGATTGAACAGGGGAAAATAAACCATGTTCCCTAGGTCTTTATTTCAATCAAGTTTCCCTGTGTTCTGCAGGAGAAGAGATGGAGAGGGGATAGAAAAATTGAAAAGGGCTGTCCCAGCAGGGGGCCGCGCCGGAGAAAAGGGCTTCTCTGAGAACGCTGCCGCGCAGCCCGACAGCTCGGGGCCTGCTTCATCTACATGCAGGGTCACACAGGGCCTGGGGTGCCCACCGTCCCCACGGAGGCTTCACATGTTCTTCCCTGCTGATTCCTGTGAAAAGCTAACAATTGGTTTGGAGGGTAAAAGACCACTGCAGTTCACCCTCCCCGAGCTGGACGTACAATTTGTCCAGTGTTAGGAAATGTCCGGCTTAGCATTGAGAGGCTTGAAGACACCCCTCCTTCCAGTGAGATTCCTAAAGCTGCCTCTTTCACTTGATGACACCGGGGCTCTTTTCAAGCATTGCAGATTTATGAAAGTTGAGGGGAATGTGCTTTTTTTAAGAGCAGGAGGATGAAAGCCTTCGTCTTAATGTCAAGGAAGAAGCGACAGCAAGCAACAAGGCCAGGTGAATCTCCCTGCCACCTGCAGACCCAGCAGCTTTATTCCTTCCCTCCTAGACCTCCTCAGCCACCTCCTTCTTCTTTTTGGAAGACAGAATTCCTGAAAAGGAACTCCTCAGGCTGTAAAATGACCAGAGTTCCTAGTTTCCTCCCCAAGAGTGAGAGTACTTAAACCCTTTAACTTGCCTCTAATGTCCGGTTTACTGGGTACTTTTCAGAATAGCATTGGAGGGCCTCGTCTGCATGTAACAGACTAGCCTTGGAATTTATGGGGAACCCTTCCTTTTTTCAGTTCAATGTCTCCCAACCTCCCAACCTTTTTCATGTCATGGCCCACAGAAAATAACATCTGACGATACATGTGGGTAAATGGATGAGGCCACTCACAACTGGCCAGGGATCCAGCCACCCAAGTGCCAGTCCGCCTTCCTAAGGGAATGCATACCTTAGCCAACTTAGAACTCGTTTGCAGCACACTAGCTGGAAAATGCTCCAAATTCGTAGCATTATTGCTGGAAGTAGAACACTCAGACCTGAAAGTTGTTGGAGTTTTAGCTAAATTCTAAAGTTGCTG